GTCATACACAATGCAGAAGAAGGAGCAAAGAACTGTGAAGGCTGGAAGAATCAAATACTTGCTAGTTTTTTAAGCTCCAACCTCTCTTTGGTTAAAAACAGGTGTTTATTTTGAAATGAATACTCATTCAGCCAACTTCTATACCAGCAGCTTTTTAAGCAGTCACCTTCCTCAAACACTGTCCCTATTTGGAACAGTTCCTCAAGGTGGTTTGGTTTTTTTTTTTTGTCTTACAAAGGTCTTATTACATATATTTATAATAAGAAACATAAATCTCATCCAATGTAGCTCTTTCCATTACACCTCTTGATGCAATCAAGCACAGTAAAAGCACTGAGAGAGAAATTACTCCCTTCCACTGCCTCCACCCAAAGAGTTTGTTTTTTAATACAAACAGGTGATTCTAGAATTTGTGTCTGGCTGTCCAGATCAGATCAATCACTGAAAATTCCATGGAGCAAGAGGCAGCAGAGTCTGACAAAAGATCAGGACTTTTGCATCTAGGAAGTGCATCATATTACTGCATGGTTTCAACAGCAGCATTTAACCTTGACTGGACTCCAACTTTAGAACTTGAATACTAGTGAACATTTATCTGCAAGGCGAAGGCTTTGCCTAAGTCCCTAACCAAGCCCTGGTAACCCTGCAAAAGCTGTCAGATAGAAGGCATGTCTAGGGAAAAAAAGCAAAATATTATGAAAGCATCTTTATTTATACAGGGTTGTTTTCCCTTCCCTTAAATATTCACAAGCAAAAACTCCTTTTGCATCTGTAGCACATCTCGAACCAGAGGGTTTCATACTAACTGGCAGGTTTCTTGTTGATAATGAGACAAAATACAAGGGTGCAGAAGGAACAGGTTTATGGTGTAATAGCAAGACTATCTTCACTGAGAATACAAATCATTACCTCTTAGCATTAAACAAAAGTAAAACACCTACTGAGAACTGGTTACTAAGCCTCTTCACTATTGTTTGATATGAAACAGCCTAGCACAAGTGATATGTAGGCCAGTCTCATGTTTGCAAGTTCACTAGTTCACATTTCACACCCCTAAATCAAGGTCTCTGTATTAGAAAGTATATGCAAGCTACAACTGCTCAAGAACTCAAACTACTTAAATCCCAGACAAATAAGCTTCCCAACCCCATGCACTGTCTACACTTCAAAACCATAATCTGTCATAGGGAAATTCCTGAAGCTTGCCCTGGCTTTGGTCCACAGTGTCCAAAGCAGGAAAGCAAGAGAAAGTGGCACCTGTCTTTTCCACCTCTAATAACATATTTATTTTCTCTGCTAAACTGAATGGTTCCATGTCTTCACAGAAAATTTTTTGTATCAGCCTTTGAGAGCAGCAACTAGTGAGAAATTAGAAAGCATTCCCTTCCAAGTTTCTCTTCAATTAGTGTTCAAAAATCTAAAAGCAACAGCTCTCGTGAAAAACCCAAACATATACACAAAACCTTACCAGGAAACCAGCATTCAATCCTTCTCATTTTCGTATTAGTTCTGATATCAGCATCACCATAAGCCCTATGCCTGATCAGATAATTTCTTTTATTCAACCCTAGAGCCACTGGAAGATGATGAAACTAAAAGGAACAAAAAAAATTCTAGGAGGAATTTAAATGCAGTAACTGGGAGTTAAAATCTAATCTCTGCTAAATGCCTGCTGTGAAAACCATAAATATTTGCAACCATTTCTTCCCAAACCAAAAAGCAATCCCAGCAGATTGCAAGAGTAAAGCCCTCAGGTACAAAACACATCCAACATGCTCATTACTGAGACTTCAAAAGCAAACAATCATTTCACATAAAAGTCTAGAATGGCCAACAACCACCCAATATTTAACTACCAAGCCCAATTATCACCAAATAAAAGTGTATAAACTAAACACAGAACTGTAACAGAGTCAAAGGCATCAGCACACAATGTTCGTTCACACTGATGAAAAATCTGATGGGGTTTGTTCCCTGCTGGGGTCTCAAATGCTACCTTTGGACTTTACTGGTAGTATGATGCTCGTGCAAAAATCTGAGAAGTAGAAAGATGTCTGGACGTTTTAATTAATATATTTCAGAAATAAGAAAAGCTATACAAAACAATAAAGAAAGGAGATGGAACAAGGTCTACTTGTTCCTGCCACAAGAAGGAAGGAAAGGCAACTGGATTGACACCTTTCTTTATACTACTGCACTGAACATCTACAGTTTTTTAGATGATTTAAAGAGGGGAAGCAGAGATGAACCTGCAGCACTACATTTCAAGAGAGGTCCATGAGCAAGGGACTTGGTACTCAAGTTGCTCAGAGCTCCCTGCAAGTCAGCAACACATTGTTTCCTGTTACAGGCAGTCTGGCTTGACAAAATCTGCTTGTTTTCTTAAGAAAACAAACCCCAAATGTGACTGCTAGGTGATTATGTGTCTAACAGCAAAATGACACAGCTGCAAAAGACACATTTTAGCAGCAATTCCTTTTTCACTGGGTTAAAGACATGACAGTGCAAGGACAAACACTGTCCAAGCCAAAATGAACAACCTATCTAGTACCATGTAGTGGTAAATTAAACTCACCAGCAACATCATCCTTTAAACTTCTATGCAAGACAAATAGTGGCTTCTTCAGGCACATCAATGAAGAACCAAGTTAAGCAAAACACGTACAAGGAGCTTTTAAAATCTGGACCTCAGAATATTACTGACAAGTCACATGCTCAGATGAGAACACTAACACTTTGGAGGGAAAGACATATGAACGTAAAGATGACTGTACATACACTGACTCCTGATGCTCATTCATGACTTACACAAGCTGGCACCCAGAGGATAAACCAAAACACAGCAAAGCTACTCCAAATGACATCTAAATCACAGAAGCTGAATTGCTAGCATCTCTTCTACTTAAAATGTCTCAGTTCTAGCTCACCTGAAATCAGCTTTTGCTTTTCCTAAAGACAATTTCTGTACTGCTAATTTTTCATCAGTTCACATCACTGCCCTCCCCACATTTAAACATGCAGCAACAGAAGGAAGTATTAAAATTGTAAGCCTTCTCGTGTCAAAATACTTTTTTCTGGTGATTTTTTTCCTACAGTTTTTTTGTGATGTACAGGGCAGCACTAAATTTTTCAGAGATGCATCTATTCCTCATCATGGCCTGTCTCATGTAATTTCATGTCCAAAGTGCTGAAACCAGGTAGAATACCTTAGTCCACAGAGACCTGGGATTGATTGATACATGCTCTGGTTTTATACTGCAAATTTCCTCTGAAGTCCTGTACAGAAAAGGGAATTTCCACTCTTTCTCTGCAAACCAATAAAGGAAGAATGTTTTTGTCTTATTGTCTGCTCCTTAATTTCTACCCTTGTAAGTCATTCTAACCTTTGAGCTATGAATTTCCAAGTTTTGAAAAAGGTCTGCCATCCTAACATCTAGCCAGGAAAGAGTTCTCTTGAATGAAACTTTACCATTATTCAGTTAATTCTGGAGTAATGAAAATGCCATTTTGTAAGTGGCAGTTCTGTTTGGGGGAAAGTATAAAACCTATCTTACAAATTTCAAGTACTGCAAGATTGTTAGCGGTGCCAAACCAACAAGTTCATTTCAAATACTGCGTGCAATTAAATAAAACTTAAAAGATCAAGGCAAAAAGATTTGATCTACATGGTGAATGGTTTTCAGACTTTTACCATGAAAGAGTTTGCACAGTTTGACCTGAAACTGGACTAACAAAAAGAAGAAATGATGCCATTCAATGGTCATGAATTTTAGAACCTATTCCCTGATGCCTATCAAGGCTGTTTTTCAACAGCCTCTCACAATACATATATATAGAGTGTCAGTATTGTGTTTTGAGAAACACAGAAAGAATTCTGTCAAATATGAGATCACAAATTCTAAAAGCAGAATTTTATGAGGGACTTCTTGAATTTAGCAAGCTGAAGCTCTCTATCATTATCATGATGACAGTTTTATGATGAAGATGAAGTTTATTTGCCACCAACATTAGCAGGACAAATTTATTTATAACAATTGCCTTAAAATGTACTGATAAAAATGCCTATTGATACTGTCAGAGCTGCTTGCAATTTGACAGATCAAATCTTATTTTCATTCTTAAACCCCATGAAGGAATGGTATCACCAACTTGCATTCTGTAGTGAGCAAATTGATTAATCCCCCTCTATAGAAATCTCAACTCTTGATTACACCTATCAGACGTTAAGCAGCATTATTCTAGAGTGACAACACTTGACAAATTCCCAAACCATTTTTCTCAGCCTTTGTGGCCCTGCTAGCTTGTATTAACCCTGATGAAAAATTAATTTTCCTTATCTTCTGCTAAACCCCAAAATCCAAATCCGCCAAACTGGCAACTCTTTCTGTAAAGGTATTATGAAAACCTCTAAAAGATTAATTGCATGTCTTCAGGTGACATTAAATTAATTTCTGTACTCGTGACAGACATTTGATACTCCGTACTGAGAGGACAGATAACATTGTCAGGATACACAGAAGGACAGTGGTGCAGTGTCCCAGGGCAGCCTCTTATGAATTCTCCTTTCGATAAGGCCATACTTCACTGTCATTGGCACTGTTAGTGATCTTGCAGCCCACAGACCTCACTGCACAGG